TTGTTTATATATGAATATATATGTATACACACACACACACACACAGACACACACACACACACACACACACACACACACACACACACACACACACACACACACACACACACACACACACACACACACACACACACACACACACACACACACACACACACACACACACACACACACACACACACACACACAACCATTTAAAAGTTTGCGTATGAATTATTTTTTAAATAAATTATTAAATTAAATTAATAGCAATGATCCAATAAATTGATCAAGTGTGACTGAAGACATTTAGACATTTTACAATGTTAGACATTTTACATATTACAGTATTTTTTTAATATTGATAATGAGCAGCAAATCAGCATATTAGAATTATTTCTGAAGGATAATGCGACACTGAAGCCTGGAGTAATGATGCTGAATATTCAGCTTTGCCATCACAGTAAGTTACACATTAAAATATATTAAAATAGAAAATATAAAACATTTAAAATTGTAAAAATTTTTCACAATATTACGAATCAAATAAATACAGCCTTACTTATATTATATACAGTACATTTAGCATAAAAAATGCTCCATAATAAAATGTATGTTTTTAAGCGCAAGTTATTAGCCTATAAAGCTGTCATGATAACACTTTCATTAATAACAATATTAAACATTGTTAAATTATTCAATGGTGAACAGATCTTTAAAAAAATTCAAATTGTATGGTCATTTACTTGCCCTCATTCTGATCCACAACCAGTATGACTTTTTCTTCTGTTGACTACTAAAGAAGAAATGCTGGTTGCTTTTTGTTCCATTACAAATAATGACCTTTCCTTACCTAAAGCCTGCGTTTGGTCCAGGCTCGGTTGCAGAATCACGTCTGTGCTTCTGAAATTATTATGTTTTTCTATATAGTGTAGTAGTTAGCTATCTCTGTGTTGTACGTGGCCGCTTGTCAAGCATGAAAAACACAAGTTTTATTTAAATTCTGAATATATTATCGTATACAGCATGCAAAGAGTGCTCCCTTTAAATTTATTAAAAAACAAATGAACGTGACTACACGATGAAACTTTTTTAATGTCTTTGTTAGAAAGAAGTTACAAGCATGATAGAACTCAGCACTGGACAAAAAACGGTGACTGGAGCGGTGAGTGCATGGATTCCAACCTAAACACCTCTGATTGGCCACTGCGTTTTAGAAATCAACAAACATGTCTGTGATTGGCTACATTGCTCACCTCTGAGAAAATGCATTGTAAAATCATTTGACGCTTTCCAAAGCAGAAGGGCAGATACACTGGATTGTCTGCCAAATCTATTTCGTTATGCTATTATTACGAAGAAAACAGATCCTAGACCAGGGGTTATTTTCTAGACCTCTGGCGCCGGGCCTGTTTAATGTCTTCTGAATTCATAACTTTGTGTGAGGCAGGACGCCATTAATGAGAGATGTAGCGATATCCAATTCACAAACAAATCATTCTTTTGTGTGGGATTCTTTCAATGAATCAGTTCATCCTGTTCACAAAACCAGACTGATTTGTTCATGAATTTGACTGATGCATTCAATTAGGGTTTGGAACGACATGAGGGTGAATAAATGAAGTGAGCTATTCCTTTAACATACATTTAAATAGTTACAAATGCCACCTTGAAAATTAAAAATTAAAATGTAAGTTTTCATAAAGTGTGGCTCAACATGTATGGTATATGAAGAGTTGGAACCAAAGTCTCAGTACAATACTGTTCTCTTCTCCTGCTCTAATGATTACAGCTAGTGGTGAATGATTTGTCTGTAGATGTGGATTCTCTGTCATCCACCAGACAGCAGGGCAGGAGAAAAGTGAACTCTCACACTTTAAGAAGGGAAAATCATAAATAATAGAAAAACTCAGAAGCTGAGCCAAGTTTGTTTTTGCTAAGAAGCGTTAACGGAATAGCCCAGTCAGCATGACAAGCATAACAGAATGCGCATAAACATACTGTAGGGAAAAGAATAATAAAACAAATTAATTTCCAAGACTTTCCATAAGAAATGGGTGCCTTTATGTAGACTTTTCAAAACAATTGGGCTTTGCGTTTGGGACAGGCTTTCTGTTCTGTTTGCTCAAAGAGCCTTTTAATTTGAACACACACTTGATTCTATTAGTATTTGTGTTGAAATATGGCACATTAGATTTTTTTTTTTATCACGCAACTGAACAGGATTTTATTATATGCAGAGCATAGGAGAACATTTTGTTTACGAGATGCATGTTTTTGTGTCCAATGTAAATTTATTCCATTTTAAACCTCCAGGTATCAGGACAGAACAGGATCTGTATGTTCGATTAATAGACTCCATGACTAAACAGGTAAGTACGGTTTGAGTTTTTTTTCTTTGAAATTCTTTACACCTTTATAACTCAAATGAAAAGGCTACTATAGTATGTCTATACTATAAGTATGTACAGCATTACAAATCTCAACTGCTTGATTGTTATATTGCCATTGTATATTAATATTTTTATATATTTATTTTGTCACAAAATGTAACTATATTACCCAGCTCTTTATATAAAGTTTGATATACAAGTATGTCCAACTTTATCCACATACATATAGTATACTCACATAAAGAGATATGTATACTATATAGTGATATAGCAAATCTCAACTGATTAATTTCTTTATTTTGTCACAAAATGTAACTATATCACCCAGCTCTTTATATATAGTTGAATATATAGTACTTCCTACCCTACTGCATAGATATATTCACGTAAAGCAATGCATACTATATAACAAATCTCAACTGCTTGAAAGCTTATATCGTCTCAAAATGTAAACTATATTATCGCCCAGCTCTAATCTGCTAAATGAGACTATAGATTATGAAGATATCATAATAAAAATAAATAAACGAATAAATAAATAATAAATACATTTAACTTGACTAAAAGTGCATGTGCTGGACACTGCACACAAATAAAAGTCCAATTAGAGATGCCTCTCATACGCTCAACTCAGTCCTGCACCTGCGTTCTTCATTCCGTCATGAAATGGACCAGATTTCAACCCCCCGCGGTCTTCGTATGGCCTATCCTTTCCTCAGCCCAGCAGGTCCTACTGTCACTGTGTGTCAGCCTTTCTCAGATCAATATGGCAACCAGTTCCTCGACAAAGCATCAACCCTGGAGACCAATCAATAGGCCTTAATGTAGCTGCAGAGCCGACACGCTGGAGACAATAATCCTCCCGACGACAAAAAAGGGCTGTTGTTGTGCGCGCCTGTAAAATCCTTCCCCCCCTACCCGCGCACACAGGCTTTACATATGTGCATCAACAGCAAAGCTGCAAATATCGATAGAGAATAATTGAGAATATGAGAGAGAAGGATCTTAGTTGAGTTAAGCCGCCTCCAATTTGAACGTTTCCCCAAAATTAATTTAGTGAAATAGTTTTGTACTGCTAATCGAAATATTTCTTGTAAGGTGAGATGACTTAATTAAGGTACCAGGAAAGAGCGTGTTTGGAGTTCATGGAAGAGTTGTAACACTATTCCATATCGCTGGAGTCAGACGTGCTTAAAGAACCAGGGTGGGTCCACCACCTTGGCGCCAGCAATGTGAATCAAGAACGATGATATATAAATATCGACCCGATCCACCTCCCGACCCCCACCGATCCCAAATCCCCTCCCCCTTTGACAAAAATGGAGGATGGTGATGAAGAGGAAGAGACTTTCATAGGCAGCAGAGAGAAAGATCAATAATGTAGAAGTGGTCGTTATACTAAAGTATTGTTCCCTAGGGTGTTGGGTCAACCCTGTCTGGCCGACTGACCAGAGTCGGGTAAGATGGAGGACAGTTTAAGGTGGATTGTGTTGTGCGTTCCTTATGTGTGTGTGTTTATGATGGATTCATCTTCACTGGTGATGGGGATGAGGTCTGGTAGGAAGGGGGGTGAGTCCTTTAACTTCCTTGATATGCACCGATCATCCGTCATTCAGGTCAGGCATGACAGCCCGGTGACGGATGCCTGGGAGGAGGCCTCTCTTTTGGGGCCTGGCTGGCCATCTGGCTGCTCGGGAAGATTGTTACTCCACATGAGCCCCAGCAGAGTCTGGACCCCCCTCAGATTGCTGCATACGTCCAGCCGCCGTTGACCAGATTTAGCTTTTAGCATATGTTAAAGTTGTCAGCATGCTTCGAACCAAAAACATGACTAATGACCAGGTGTCAGCATCCTGAACATCTTGAGCAATCACTGGTTTCGGGATGAGCTAAAGGAGGAATTCGGCCAAGTCACAAAACAAGAGGATTGAATAAATTGATCAAATGTGACAATAAAGACATTTATAATGTTACAAATGATTTCTATTTCAAATAAATGTTCTCATTATGAATTTTCTCCTCATCAAAGTATTTTGAAACGGTTTCCACAAAAATATTAAGTGGCACTGTTTTCAACTGTTTTCAATATTGATGATAATAAATGTTTCTTGATCACCAAATCAGCATATTAGAATGATTTCTGCAGGATCATGTGACACTGAAGATTGGAGTAATGACTACTGAAAATGTAGCTTTGCCATCACACAAATAAATTACATTTTAAATTATAGTAAAATAGAGAAGTTTTTAGTTTTTAAATTGTAATAATATTTCACAATATAAATGTTTTTACTGTATTTTTAATCAAATAAATGCAGTCTTGGTGAAACGTCTCTCAAAAACATTTACAAATCTTACCAATCCCAAACTTTTGAACAGTAGTGTATTTTGAGGTAAACACATTCAAAGCACTACTGGGGCAAATTGTCACATTGCATTAAATTAACTTTTTTCCCCCTAAACAATAATTGTGGAAAGCATGAATTTGTCTCTCTTTCTTCCTTATAGGCAATCCTTTATGAAGGCCAAGACAAAAACCCAGAGATGTGTCGCGTTCTCCTCACCCATGAGATCATGTGCAGGTCAGTTCATATTTACCTCTCATTTCTTATAAGAACAACCTGAGACTTCTATAACAAACACAGCTCTGCTCATATTCCAAGCACTAACATATTGAAGACAACGTAACATGCAGTTTTTGAAGTATCTTTTAATACCTTATTAATTCCTTTTTTATTATTTAACATGAAAAAATTTATTACGCCTCATATTACTGATCATGATTCAGTATCACTATGTGAGAGAGGCTTTAGAAGAACATTAACATATGGTTTGGGAGTTCAGCTCACGGTGTACCGCAGGGTTGCATAGGTGGGCCTACATGATCCTTCCCGCTCCACTGTGAAGTCCTACAGGGCTTTCCTCATTACATTGACCATACATTAATGCAGTGTAATTATGGGTTCACAGTGGGCTTGCATGGCTGGAGGCCTGGATAGAGGTGTATTGTCCATGAATTTTTGCCTGATGGCTATTGGAGGGGGCTGAGGATCTGTAGGGAAGCGGTGCTGGGGGGGTGGAGAAAGTTAAGGGGGCTCAGAAGCTGGTGTCTTGGGTAACGGGGGGCTAACTTAGAGTTAATAATGTAGTGAGGGGAAATGATGGGGCTTCGTTGGGCACCCGAGGGCCGGTGGGAGATGCAAATCCTCCAATAGAGTGTAGCAGTGATTATACATTTTTGTAGGCCAACCCTAAAGTTAGCATCACCCCGGCTCCCTTGACAAAAACCCAATAAGATTTTTCCATTGGCTTTTGGATGATTGCAGAAAATAAGCTCTGTGACCAACAAAAGTTATGATTCTTACACGTTTTGTTCGTCATGATAATCTTCACAATTGGACACAGCTTTTATGAATTTTGCCAAAATCAGTTGCCAAAAGTAAAAAGCCAAACGTAGACTATAAACGAACTACACCACGGTTGCATGACTTCAACATCCCATTAAGGGGGAAGTCGTGGCCTAATGGTTAGAGAGTCGGATTTGTAACCCAAAGGTTGCGAGTTCGAGTCTCAGGTCCGGCAGGAATTGTAGGTGGGGGGAGTGAATGTACAGTGCTCTCTTCCATCTTCAATACCACGACTGAGGTCGAAGACCACGAGACTGTGCCCTTGAGCAAGGCACCGAACCCCCAACTGCTCCCCGGGCACTGCTGCATAAATGGCTGCCCACTGCTCCGGGTGTGTGTTCACGGTGTGTGTGTGTTCACTGCTGTGTGTGTGTGCGCACTTCGGATGGGATAAATGCAGAGCACTAATTACTAGTGTGGGTAACCATACTTGGCCACATGTCACGTCACTTTTCACTTTCACATCACCATCATTAAGCTGACAGCTATTTTAGTCTTTATTTAAAACACATTTTCCCTGAAAGTTTGAGTTAGAATAGTTTGCAAGAGTGCAATTATAAACAGAGAGGCTGTAAAAATAGGCTAGTGCGTAGATGAGTTTTCATGTTCGGTTTGATGACGTTTATTGTCCCCAACAACCTCTGTAGTTCCATTTAGCCACTTGTTAGCATCCACCTTTTTCTACACAAGTAAAATCACAAGGGGTAATACTGGTATAGTGTATGTTGTAGAATAAAACTTGAAAATATCTTGAGCTTGTGTTAACCACAGACCTTATTTCAGGCATTTAACCAAAAACCCATTTAAAAAGCCCACTGGCTTTTGGACAATGGACCCGGAAGTACTAAAATGGCAACTCTTTTCCAGATTTTAGCTTACAAAAATACATCATCCCTGCAACACTCTATCTGGCTAGAAGAAGAAAAATGACTACCGATGTACTTCACGTCCAATATTTTTTATATATTTAATGCTAATGTTCTTTGCTTTGCTCTAACAGAGATTTGCCAAGAACAGAGAAAGTCAATTATTATGGGGAGCCTGTCGAGTTATTAAAGTGTTGATGGGAATTTCAACACATTTTGAATCATTAAGATGGACTTTGCTAATTATGTTCATCACAGAAGTGATTTCATCTGGCTGCCACCAGCGCTACGTAAATCTAACAAATGCTTCACCCTATAAAGTGGACATCATCACTTCCAGAAAACTCACCTGTTTACACCACACAGCACTGGGTGCTGGGTACTCTGTGCTATTTTCTCCCTCAAGGAACCGGGCTTTCTCGGAGATGATTTCGATTCAGGTTCCATTTCCATAATGATGGCTCAGTTTGAGTCGGTCATTATGTGATTGAGTGTGATTATTAACTGCCTCCCCTGATGAATGGTGTGTTTCCATTCGCTAATGAGAGCGAGATGAAAGATATTTCCCCTGACTCTCACTCCCAGGTGATAGAACTCTTTATCAGGGCCCTGATGGAGTCTGCCTCACCTGCAACACCCATCAACAGACTGAAAGCACAGCAGCTGTTCATGGCAAACTTGATGTTCTTGTCCCAGACGTGAGGATGAGTGTCCTATGGTCCTTTTCAGTTTTAATAAATAGTGCTTGTTTTGGAGATAATTTCCTTTGTGTGGTAAATGAGCTTAGCAAACGACTTTGACAGATTATTTGGGATCTCTTCTAAGCAGAGTTACAATATTTCCACGTGAACATCATACTTACAGTCACCAGGAACTTTAAGCATTTTTCCCCTGCTGGTAGACATTGTAACTACACCATCTGCTAACATGCATCTCAATTGGAAACCATTCAAAATTAACTTATATTCGGGAGAAATAATTTATATAAAAAAGTATACAAAATTATTATATATACCAGTGTATATTACCAGTGTCTGATTATTTTTGAGAGAATTTTAAATGAATTTATATTATTATTATTTATTACAATTTTCCTGTCAGTTGCTTTTGGCATCATATATAAAATAAATAATAGATAAATAAAATAAATCATAATTTATTTGCATAGTGGTGCATAGTGGGCACGGACTGGTCTCTGTCCGCCAGTCTGGATGAGGATGTTGTGTTGGAGAGCTCTGCCATCGGCTCTCACCCTCCAGTCAGGCAGCCTGGTGCATATGATTAGCCCTGGCCGCATCCTCTCTGTGCCTGGCTGGGTAATTACAACACTTGCCCTTTGAAAACAAGCCCTCTATTGACATCCATTCTCTCTGTCCTTCTCTATCTTTTCATGTCTTATCTTACTCCTTCAGCATGTTCCACTTTATCTGATGTTAGTCTTAAGATTCCCCAGGGAAGCTTTGAAGGCTGTTTTTTATATAAGCTCCACTCTGATATTGTGCCCTCATCCGATAAACCCACCTTTCTAGTTTTTGAGTGAATCTACTTCAGGATACCAGAGGTCTGTCTGATGGACTAGTAAGGGCCACGGTGGAGATAGCAAGCTGAGTAGGTAGCTCTTAAAGCATCTAGTCGGTCATTATGTGATTGAGTGTGATTATTAACTGCCTCCCCTGATGAATGGTGTGTTTCCATTCGCTAATGAGAGCGAGATGAAAGATATTTCCCCTGACTCTCACTCCCAGGTGATAGAACTCTTTATCAGGGCCCTGATGGAGTCTGCCTCACCTGCAACACCCATCAACAGACTGAAAGCACAGCAGCTGTTCATGGCAAACTTGATGTTCTTGTCCCAGACGTGAGGATGAGTGTCCTATGGTCCTTTTCAGTTTTAATAAATAGTGCTTGTTTTGGAGATAATTTCCTTTGTGTGGTAAATGAGCTTAGCAAACGACTTTGACAGATTATTTGGGATCTCTTCTAAGCAGAGTTACAATATTTCCACGTGAACATCATACTTACAGTCACCAGGAACTTTAAGCATTTTTCCCCTGCTGGTAGACATTGTAACTACACCATCTGCTAACATGCATCTCAATTGGAAACCATTCAAAATTAACTTATATTCGGGAGAAATAATTTATATAAAAAAGTATACAAAATTATTATATATACCAGTGTATATTACCAGTGTCTGATTATTTTTGAGAGAATTTTAAATGAATTTATATTATTATTATTTATTACAATTTTCCTGTCAGTTGCTTTTGGCATCATATATAAAATAAATAATAGATAAATAAAATAAATCATAATTTATTTGCATAGTGGTGCATAGTGGGCACGGACTGGTCTCTGTCCGCCAGTCTGGATGAGGATGTTGTGTTGGAGAGCTCTGCCATCGGCTCTCACCCTCCAGTCAGGCAGCCTGGTGCATATGATTAGCCCTGGCCGCATCCTCTCTGTGCCTGGCTGGGTAATTACAACACTTGCCCTTTGAAAACAAGCCCTCTATTGACATCCATTCTCTCTGTCCTTCTCTATCTTTTCATGTCTTATCTTACTCCTTCAGCATGTTCCACTTTATCTGATGTTAGTCTTAAGATTCCCCAGGGAAGCTTTGAAGGCTGTTTTTTATATAAGCTCCACTCTGATATTGTGCCCTCATCCGATAAACCCACCTTTCTAGTTTTTGAGTGAATCTACTTCAGGATACCAGAGGTCTGTCTGATGGACTAGTAAGGGCCACGGTGGAGATAGCAAGCTGAGTAGGTAGCTCTTAAAGCATCTGTTCCTCAATCTATGACTAATCAGTAGGAGCGACCAGAGCCCGTGCCTCTGTACAGGAGCACTGCTTGTCCTGTGCTCATTTTAGGGGTTTGAGGTTGGAGGAGCCGCATTTGTTTTCGTGATTCTGGCCCTTCGTCATTAGCCGAGCCAGGGCTAGCCTGCTCAGACCCTGGAGGGAACGCCATTAAAGCCACATTACGGACGCTCCGCCAAGGTTTGTTTTTGCGAACGGGGGCCCGGGACTCCCTCCGGACCTGGCTGTGCTCCTGGGGTCCAGTTTGTTTATAACACTTCTTTCGCAGTTTGAGGAGGTTGTCACCACAGCCTCACCATTGGGTTTCCAATGCTAATTGGTCTCCTGGAAGTTTGCTAATGGTTCCAAGTAGCTGGGGGAATAAATTATAGTGGCGCGCTCTATGGCAACAGTCACACACACAAAGAACAGGAAAACAACGAATGGTTCTTGTTTTTTCAGGTTCTTAAAGATCAAACAATGTGATAAATGATTAATAAAGTCAGATCGTTTTGCATTCAGTGGCTCTAAGTGAGGATTATTTGTCAAATGGCAATCTAATGCATGACAGCATGAAGCAAGTAGGATGAATATATCAGGAGTCTTAGTGGTCGGAAAAATCCATACAATATGATTTGAAGTTATTGCTTAGCTAATCTTAGTCGAGGGTAATGATTTTTTTGTTTCAGCATCTATTCATCATTTCATCAAACTATGTAGCGAAAAATGGAACAGATACTGCAACTCAGTGTCTCCCGCTCTGCTATTCATGAGCCACACTGCTTCATGATTAATTTCGATTATGCTTAGTCATTATTCATAAAAATACCTTTTTTTTCTCTTTAAATTATATTATATTAAAGGAATATAAATTATATATGTTTTTAAGAATATGTATTTAAATATTTTTATTTAAATATATTGTATTATAATGTGTACATGTAATAATATAGTATGTACTAGAATTATTTATTATATTGGTAGTCCAAAATTCTTAGGGGTATCCGTGTCTCTTGCTGTGAGAACTCAACCCTGCAGGAAACACTATTGCAAAAATATTTCTCTTCTGACTGATGATCTCAAGCTGATGAGATTAAACTTAATTGGAACCATTTTCACAAAGCAGGCGGCACCAGTGGTCGCACCAGTTTGGTTGGCAAGGGGTGAATGGGCTAGGCGGGATGTATTTAGAGGAACCACATGCCACCAGATGAGATGCCAGCCTGGGGCGAGGGCATGGGCAAGGGCAGAGGTGATGACAGTGTTGGAGAGGAGCATTTGGGAGAGAGCCGCTGCACCAGGACTTCTCTGGGTGCTGTCCAAACTGTCAGAGGCTGGCTGAGTGACCTTGGCGGGGGCCCAGCCCAGCTGGAGCACAGGGCGAGAGGAGAAAGAGGGCGACCTGTCAGGCAGCCACCAGCTTGAGAAAGACTTGCCAGTCACCACATAGCTCCATCCCTATCTCTAAAAGAACACAGCAGAGCTTTTCTTCTAAGCATGAAAGCAAATCTCAGAACTCTTTTTTTTGTACACTCATACATAATTCTGTGGTAATTAGGCATTTTTTGTTGTCCTTTTTCTTTGGTTCCAATTCAAGTCACTATCAAATTCTGTATTTATAAAATCTAACTGAACATCAAGCTGCTTGACTAAAGATACAGTCAAATACTGTGTTGCTCTCTAAAACAATAGTAAACATAAATTAATATATATATAGATTAGAGGTAGCAGTTGCCAATATCAAACCCAAAAACATTCCAATATCGATCCAACCCTATTAGATAGACATGTAACTTATGTCTTTTATTCATTTCAGCCGGTGTTGTGACAAGAAGAGCTGTGGGAACCGAAACGAGACGCCATCTGATCCTGTCATCATCGACAGGTAAGAGCATCTTCTATCTTCCTCTTGCCCTCCAAAATGGAAAGACGTCTGCATCTACAGGCATCTGGATATTTTATTAATGTGCATTTTGGGGATCAAATCCTGCATCCCATAACAGGACATAATCAGCCTTGCCGCCAAGTGAGCGAAAGACAGTGTGTGTAGACTTGCTCCTCTTGACAAATGCAGCTTTCACAGCAATCACATCTTGAATTCTGAAACATTTAGAGATATTGAATATATTGCATAATTCCCATCAATTTTGCTTTTTCCCATGGGTTAATGCTACATGTTTTTAGTTTTAGGATTGCTAACTGCTTATTCTGTTCTCAATACCGTCTCTCAAACTCTTTACCCTGTTGACTGGACTTCTACCCGCTAAAAGCGTCTGTAGGGAGGTTTTGTAATGACTGAAATGAAGTGGATGTGATTGTGTGAGAGAGTGTGCACTTCCAAACAGGACAGCAGTGAGAGTGTTCTCTTAGGGCACAGGGGTCATTACCAAATCCATGTTGGCTCGTTAGACTGGCCTTGGAGCATATCCAGCGGACAGAAGTGAAGGGAGCCGGAAATCAGTGACCCTCCCTCTTTCTCCACACACACACACACACACACACACACTTACAAAAGCGTGTACGCACAACCACACACTAAATCTTCTCACCTCTAGCTGCCATGGAGTGCATCTGATTGGTGTAAGGTCCGAACCTGCAGAGATGATGTCACCTTTTCATGCTCACGGTGTCGTTTATGGAATGTACCATTATTTAGCCGCTCAGTAAATGACAAAACCCTGCAGCCATTATAGCAGCCGCACCAGCAAACAAACTACCAATAATGCCAATTTACTAACAACCGACGGGGCGAGAGAACCATCAAAGGCGCGACAAAATACGACAAAAGCGTACGCGAGAGCGTTTGAATTTTTCATCTCTCTACAATGAGGCTGATATTGCCGTCTAAAATGTTTCCTCTGGGAGTAGTCGGAATGAATGGCGCTACGTGGGGGCTGAATCGCTGATGTCTAGCTTGTGTGTGCCAGCCACTTCCGAACTCCTCATTACGCTGACCAAAACCCATTCTAAAGTGTTTACGGATGACAGCGGATGCGTGTGATTTAAGACAGACCGGTCCATACGACTGCATTTTAGCGCCCTATTAAGATGGGCAGTATTTATAGGAGCGCCGCCCTGAGCTCCTTAAACTAACAGATAAATCAGTTCGGTGCGAGGGACGGCTGCCGGCCCACCATGCAAATCAGCTGTTGCGCCCATCACTGTAAAAGGCTTAATGACGGCCATTCATCCTGCCCTCCACAGTCTCTACCTTTGTTTCAAGCACAGATCTGATCTGTAAATCAAGACCTGCTGCGCATGGCTGTGTGGCCCCATGCATCACAAATAAGAGCCCTCGCACGCACATGCGCACGCTTGCATTAAAACAACCAGACCTGGTGGCGTTGGAAAGAAACATTTTTCACGCCTGCCTCTCCGTTAGTTTGGTCTCATCAGTTTTGCCCCATTGATCGTGATGTTTACCGCTAATGGGGACGATAAACAACAACAAACAAAGAGCTTCACTTGATTCTTTTTGATTTCGGCCCATTATTATCTGTCATGGGAAATAAGGCAATTATGGTGACACAGTCACTTCCTGTCCTGTTCCAGCTTCGTAAATGTCTATTCTCGAGTCCACTTAGTTAGGGGTTAAGTATGGGTCAGAAAGGTCAGGGGTCGTATCTCATGATCCTCTTACTTACACAAACTGGGAAGCATTACATGCATTTGCAGATCAAGAAGTGCTCAGGCAAGAGTAAAGTGAAATGTTGCTGAGTGAGCTTTAAAACAGGTGTTAGTACAAGCTCATATTGCAATTAGATCGTCCAGAGAGTTCTCTTAGTTGGGCAATAAATTGTGCAGTGCTGTCAGTGATTATAGCAGGATGGGGGGAGTTTGGTCTAATTACGTCATTTTGCCTCCCACCCATCCAGCCTCAAGCATGATATAATTCGCTTCTATGCTTTTCATTTTGAGTCATGCACAAGGAGTGAACGGGGCGAGAGAACCATCAAAGGCGCGACAAAATACGACAAAAGCGTACGCGAGAGCGTTTGAATTTTTCATCTCTCTACAATGAGGCTGATATTGCCGTCTAAAATGTTTCCTCTGGGAGTAGTCGGAATGAATGGCGCTACGTGGGGGCTGAATCGCTGATGTCTAGCTTGTGTGTGCCAGCCACTTCCGAACTCCTCATTACGCTGACCAAAACCCATTCTAAAGTGTTTACGGATGACAGCGGATGCGTGTGATTTAAGACAGACCGGTCCATACGACTGCATTTTAGCGCCCTATTAAGATGGGCAGTATTTATAGGAGCGCCGCCCTGAGCTCCTTAAACTAACAGATAAATCAGTTCGGTGCGAGGGACGGCTGCCGGCCCACCATGCAAATCAGCTGTTGCGCCCATCACTGTAAAAGGCTTAATGACGGCCATTCATCCTGCCCTCCACAGTCTCTACCTTTGTTTCAAGCACAGATCTGATCTGTAAATCAAGACCTGCTGCGCATGGCTGTGTGGCCCCATGCATCACAAATAAGAGCCCTCGCACGCACATGCGCACGCTTGCATTAAAACAACCAGACCTGGTGGCGTTGGAAAGAAACATTTTTCACGCCTGCCTCTCCGTTAGTTTGGTCTCATCAGTTTTGCCCCATTGATCGTGATGTTTACCGCTAATGGGGACGATAAACAACAACAAACAAAGAGCTTCACTTGATTCTTTTTGATTTCGGCCCATTATTATCTGTCATGGGAAATAAGGCAATTATGGTGACACAGTCACTTCCTGTCCTGTTCCAGCTTCGTAAATGTCTATTCTCGAGTCCACTTAGTTAGGGGTTAAGTATGGGTCAGAAAGGTCAGGGGTCGTATCTCATGATCCTCTTACTTACACAAACTGGGAAGCATTACATGCATTTGCAGATCAAGAAGTGCTCAGGCAAGAGTAAAGTGAAATGTTGCTGAGTGAGCTTTAAAACAGGTGTTAGTACAAGCTCATATTGCAATTAGATCGTCCAGAGAGTTCTCTTAGTTGGGCAATAAATTGTGCAGTGCTGTCAGTGATTATAGCAGGATGGGGGGAGTTTGGTCTAATTACGTCATTTTGCCTCCCACCCATCCAGCCTCAAGCATGATATAATTCGCTTCTATGCTTTTCATTTTGAGTCATGCACAAGGAGTGAAGCATTGAAATGAGACCATAGATAAGGGTTAACATCCATTTGCATGTGACCTTCCTGACCTTTGCTCCATGTCTGTGTTCACAAAGTATCTCTCCTCTTGTGTCTTTATCAGCAAGGCATGTTTTCATGAAGGTCCTGTATGGCACAGATCAGTAGATGTGTGAAAGTGAAGATAAAGACTTCTTGAGACGTGCGTTTTAAAGGGGTCATATGATGTTGCTAAAAATAACATTATTTGTGTATTTGGTGTAATGAAATGTGTTTATGCGGTTTAAGGTTAAAAAAACACATTATTTTCCACATACTGTACATTACTGTTTCAGAAAGGCGGGG